GATGCTTCCAATCATTTCCTTCATTCTTCCTCTGGAGAAGGGGCGGCGATACCGTCAAAGAAAAAAAGTACGATGGTCTGTACGTGTTTATTCAAAACCCCTGCATGTGCTTTGTTGGTCTGCCGTCACTACAAGGCATCATGCCATACCCGTCTAGCCACCAATCATCCCCCCTCCCACCACTGACCCATATAGGTGCTTTGAATCTCTGGCAGGCCTTACAAGAACATCTGGGCCCCCTTCCCAGGAACGCCACTGAGATGACGGTACGTGCATGATCTAGAAACATAAAAATGTAAGCATGTTGTCAGTCCGTGTGTAGGAACCGCTTCTGATTTGTGACAGCGCTTTGGATGGAGTTTAAAGCATCTTAGGGTTTAGTCTCCAGGTGGTTCTCTTCTTACAGACTTACTGACGGGGCAGAGGAGGAGGAGGAGAGGGAGTTACACAAGTTTGGAAACCAGTCCAGAGTCAAAGAACAGCAACTGCTCAAAACTAGAAGTTGTTCAGATGAGACTCCCCTTTGTCAAGGTCTTAAAGAAGACCCAAACTGTCACCCTTAGGTGTCTTTTATTTTAACCATAATGAAATTAGCAACACAGTCTAATTAAAACATTTTAATAACCATAGACTGATAGCACTGAGAAGCTTGAACAAACATCATGTTTAAAAAAATATACCTGCTGATTACTAGATGAAGTCCAGCTTTGTAAACTTCTCAGGCAGCACTTGAGAAAATAAATATTCCTGCTGTCTAAAGCTGCCTCGCAAACATTAAATCCAAAATATCAGCTCCACCATCACTGGATAGGAATAATGCTAACACCATTAGCTCGTCCTTTCCCTGACACAAACTAAATTTTTCTGTTTGTCCATCTGATAATGTTTGGTGTGATTCCTCGGCCTCTTCACTTCTGGTTTTTCCTCCCAAAAACAAAACAGAAAAAATAATTAGAGTAAATAACACACCATACTTGTGCTAATGCTAGCCATGATTTTGTCTGGAGTCCACAAAAATGCGAGGGCTGAACTGCCAAGGGGTGTGGCCTAACACCTGTCAGTCACTCACCCCCATTGACCTCTTTACACATCCTAATGTACATCCTCAAAGTTAGTATTGTGCAATGTGTTTTAACCATGGATTGTGTTTACTGTACATATTTATATTTATTGGCGTCAGAGGCATTTGTAATGTGTGTGTGTGTGTGTGTGTGTGTGTGTTTGGGGGGACACTGGTGTGTGTGTGGATGTGGCTTTGGGGGTCATCCCCCAAATAATTTTGAAAAA